TGGGGTGGAGCCCCCACAGCTGAGGATAAGGTAGTAACTGCCAGAGAGAGACAGAGATGGGGTCTTCAGCTTCCACTGGTCCCCATGGAGGAAGCCAGGGTCCAGCCCTGCTTGTCACCAACCCCTCCTCATTCAGTATCGGCTCAGCTACAACAGACCTAAACTTCCTGCCCTTCTTCCCAAGCCCAGATCCATTTCTGGGTGCCTCGGCCGTGGGTACAGCGATCACAGTAATCTTAGTGGGAGCAGCTGCCACTGCTGAGTCTGTGCCCTGCACTGCGCTGACACAGACAGGAAAGAGGACAACCAGGAGACAAAGCCTGATGGCTCTCTCTAGGGGCCGGGACGGGGGGCAAGGTTCAGACACACTTGGCAGCTCAGGAATAGGCCGCACAGGGAAGGGAGAGGCTGAGTAGCCTGGTAGAGACAGAGATTCCCGGCTCTGTCATGTCCCTGCTTGACACCTCAGGTCCTTGGGTGAGTGACTTAATCTCTCTGACATTCAGTTCCTTCATTTGGAAAATGGGGATAGCAGAACCTGTCTCATTAAATGGATGTGAGAATTAAATTAGTCAATCTACCTTTTTTTGGGGGTTTTTTGGAGTCAAGGTCTCACTATGTAGTATAGTAGGCTGGCCTTGAACTCATTCTATAATCCAGGCTGTCCTCAAACTCAGGATTTTCCTTAGCCCGTGTGTTGGTTCACGCCTGTAATCCCAGCACTGGGCAGCTGAGGCAGGAGGCTCGGCATGAGTTCGAGGCCAGCCTGAACTACACAGTGAGACCCTGTCTCAAAGAAACTAGAAACAAAAGCAAAAACAAAAAAAACTCATGATCCTTGTGCCCCAGCCTCTGGAATGCTGGCATTAGAAGCATGCACCACTGTGCCCCACTTTTCTTTTCTTTTCTTTTCTTTTTTTTTTTTTTGAGATAAGTCTCAAAAAGTTGCCTATGCTGGCCTGGAACTTGCAACTCTTCCTGCCTCCACCTCCTGAGTAGTGGGATTATACGCATGGGCCAGAATACCCAGCAGTCAATATACTTTATAAAATGCTTAGAACATAGGCATCATCCTCTTGCTACTTTATACACCTCCCGCTATTATTTCTTACCCTGAGAGGGCAATATGATGCATAAATATATATTTTTTCCATTGCTGGTGATGGAACTAGAATATGTGCTAGGCAAGTGCTGTGCCACTGAGATACACTCCAGTCCCTACACTCTTGTGTGTATATATACATTCTGTATGTATTAAACATTCACAATAATTTTATAAAAACTGAAGCTCAGAGAAATAAAGTGACATCTTGAGTTCACACAGCTTATGAAAGTATTTTAGCAACCCCATGTTTTTCTCAAGGAAATCATGTAGCCTATTAGAGTCCAGCTGCTCTGGTGAAAGAGGAGCAGGGTCTGCCCTGAGTCTTTCCCATGCCCCCCACACCTCCAGACTCAGCCTCGAGGCCCATGGCCACCTGGAGCCACTGGAGAGCCTCAGGCTGCAGCCCATGCAGTGTCCTCCCAGCCTCCCTCACCAGCTTCTGCCCTCCCTGACCTGTTGTGCTCAGACTGCTGGAAGCTTGGGACAATGGTAAGGTCCCTGCGCCCCCTTGGGGTGTGACCTGGGGAGAGAAGAAAGTCATACAGTTAGGCCACTGTTTCCTAGTAGCCCCCCTGGTGGTTCCTGGCCGTAGAACACTCACTGCCCTGGCCTCAGGAGTGGTGGGGGGCTTTGAACACAATGCATTTTCCATCACATCTTCCCTCACATTTACCCTGGGTCAGTGATGGCAAACCTGTCCATCAGATAATAGTTGCTTTTTTCTAAACTAAAACCTCAGTATTTAAGTTTAATGGTAGTGCTGGCATTTTACAATACCTAAGTGGATTTGGGCTTGCAGTTTGGGCACTCCTCCCTAAAAGGTTTGCTGTCCCTGCCCTAGGTGATCCTGAGCCACAAGCAGGAAGGAATAATTCTCCACAGAGAGGGGCTCCTGTTTCCCATCCGATCCTACCCGGGCTGGCTGAAGTGTGGTATCCTGCCCACAGTGATAGCACCCGAAGAACGGCTGTCTCAGCTCTCTACAGTGAACACTTTTGCCCTGTTAAGAGTGGGGCTGGCAGGCAAACTGTCTGGTGGGACCCAGGCAAGGAAGGAGCAGACCTGGTGTGTGCGTAGGGAACTTGAGCATAAACTGATGCAAATCTTTGTGTCAGTGGTAGAATGTCTTGATACTTGATTTTTCTGGGATTGTTTTCTGGCCTCCTTCCTGGCTTCCCTGTCTCCAGTCTCACCTGTCTTATCAGCCCCAGAAGCCTTACTGAATTTAACTCTCTCCCTCCCCAACTTAAAAGTCCTCCTTAGCTCCTTACTGCCCATGGTTCAAAATCATTGTGAAATTTGGTGTCTACCTCTGCCTGCCCCTACGTTCATTCGCACAAATTGTGACTCCAGCCCATAAACTGCACTGAAGCTCCTCCAAGCAGACCTGGCACTCTGGGTGTCTGGGCTTTCATGGGAACCAGTCCCTTCCCCTGGGAGGCTCTTTTTCATGTGGCTGGCTAACCCTCTTATCCTTTGTGTCTCCGTTTAGAGGGCCCCCTTCCTGCCTAACCCTGGGGCAGGGGACTCTTCTCTGGAGCACCATAGCCCTTTCCATGAGCTGAAATCGAGGGATGGAATAAAGGTTGTTCCAGATCTATGCAGTACCAAGCAGGCCCGCGTGTAGCTTTGAGCTTGATGCACGGCACCTCTTCCAGGCTCTGTGTGGATACTGAGTATCTCTACCTGGACCGTGCCCTGGGTGTGTGTGTGTGTATCCATCCTTGTGTGGCTATGTCCCTGGGAAAAGTGGCTCTGTGTGCACATGTAACCCACAGAAGACCTGGAAAACGTGTGTCCCTGTGTGACTGTGCTTATATGACAGCCTGTCTTCGAGAGCAACTCTCTTGGCCCCAGTTGTGGGCTCTGGACAATCTGGTAGGTTTGTTTCACACAGGTGCCTGTCCAGCTTGTCCTCCCCACCCCCACAGGGCTCTCAGTACCAAGTGGGGGCTGTAGCTGGCCGGCTTCCCCGGGCTGGGCAGCATGGGGGCTGCGCTGCAAGGGTTGATGCGCTTCTCCTTCTGGCGCCGGTTGCAGAACCAGACGCGGATCACTTCCTTCTCCATGTGCAGCTGCTCGGCAATCAGCAGGATCTCCTCTGAGGTAGGCTTCTGGTTCTGTGGACAGAGGGCTAGTTAGTTCCAGCCCCTCCTTGCGCCATCCCTCTAGTCCACCCAGAGGGTGAGGCCTCACCGCTAGAAAACTCTTCTCTAAGGCGAAGCGGACATTCGTTTCGATGCTGGTCCTCTTCTTACGTCTTCGGCCAGGCAGCCCGTCAAAACCCAGGCTGGGACTGCTCAGCTGGTTGGGGCTGGGCAGGCTTGAGTCCACAGACATAGTCTCTGTGCAGGGAGAAGACGTGGGCTTCGGAAGGTGCCACCCCCTGCCCGCCTCCCACCCTCCCCGACCTGGGAGTCTCAGCCCAGTCTCACCTGCATCATTGAGCCACTTCTCCAGGAGGGGCTTCAGTTTGCACATGTTCTTGAAGCTCAGGTTGAGGGCCTCAAAGCGGGAAATGGTCGTCTGGCTGAAGTCATTGCCATAAAGCTTGCCCATCGCTAGACCCACATCACCCTGGGCCAGTGGCAACAGGGCAGAGGTCAGGGCAGGGCCTTCTGGCACTGGGCTGTCCTGCCAACCAGCAGGCCACACTGCCCCTCACACCGCCCACTGCCCAGCCAGCAAGGTAGTCCCAGACCTGCGTGAAGCCCAACTTGATGCGGCGCTGCTTGAAGGTTCGGGCGAACTGCTCTAGCTCCTCCAGATCACTGGGCTCCTCGGGATGGGATGGCGGCTCCAAGCATTTAGGGGGCTGCGGGTGTGAGAAGTGCGGGTCGGGCAGCGTGGGGCGGGTCACGGCCTGGTGGGGCAGGCAGGTGAGTGGGATGCGGGACGAAGGAGCAGGGTGATGCTCAGCAACAGCTGAGAGGTCCCACGCCCTCCCCACAGTCCAGCCTCTTCTGCAGACCCCTCCACCTGCCCTAGGAGGCCTCTACACTCACAGTTGATCTGGTAAAGGTTAGACTGTGGCCTCACGAGGGGCAATGCCCAGAACCCCGCACTGTCCCTTTGAGCTTGCAAACTCTTGGAAGGAGCAGCTGGTTTCTTCACCAAGCGCTCTTTCTCTGGAGCTGGGATCAGGGGTTTCATTTTCCTTTTCACCAGCCTTGAAATAAGGACTGGTTCTGCCACTGTCCTGTTGGGTAGTTTGGGGTAAGCTTCTTAATTTCCCTGGGCCCCACTTTTCCCTCTACAGATGGAAGCCATCACTGCTGCTCTGCCTGCTTGTTGGAGCGGTGGGAGAATCAGGTCTGAGACAAGCTGGTTGTCCAAACACATAGACTATGCAACACCAAGAGTGAACTCCAATGTTCAAGCGATGAACTGTGGTAAGAATGGTGTGTCAGTGTACGTGCCGGGCTGCCATACATGCCCCACTGAGACTGAGGGTGTTGACAATGGGAAAGCCAGTGCATAGGGGGCTGAAGGTATATGTGATCCTGATCTTCCATTTAGTTTTGCTGTGACTCTAAAATTGGTCTAAAAAAATCAGTCTTAAAAAATTAGCACATAGCAAATAAAGTAAAGGGATTTAAAAATGGACAGAGAGGACAGCTAGGGGCATTGACAATGAAGCAACAGCTCTGTCTGTAATGTTTCATTGCCCTGAAAACAAAAGGTTGGGTGCAGAGAGGTCTCTCACCCGGATCCTTGATGATCCAAACCCCAGAGGTTCCAGATGTTTTGTGGAAATCAGAAGTTTTTCATATTTTAGGAGGCCCATCTGGGGCGCAAATGATAGAGAGTGTGACCCTCCCAGTCAGGGCCCAGGGTCACCTCACAATCAGACACAGAAGTTCTGCAGTAGCAGAGATGGCACACCAAGGGGGATAAGGGCACGTCGGACAGGGCAGTTTTTAGCACCAATGTTATTAGAACACCTTGACTTTCAAAGCATTTTGAATTTCAACACTGCAGCCAAGACCTGGACTGGCCTCTGAACTTTTCAGTCTTTCTGAAATAGTTCATATATTTTTTGGTTTTGGTGCTGGGAATTGAACCCAGGGCCTCAAGCATGCCAAACACATGCTCTGCCACTAAGCTACTGCTCTCCCACTTTCCCAGCCCTCACATATTTTCAAAAAGGCTCAAAAAAAAAATGAGTAGGAAAAAATGTAAGTGCATAAAGGGTGTCAAAAGAGCCTTCTTAAAATCTGAAACCCAGGCAGCAAACTGAAAGGCTTTAGAGTCCATGCAGTAGAACACTGAGGTGCCAGGAGAGCTGGGATCCCTGGGATCCCACCTAAGGGTCCCCACGTGAAAACCCAGTCTTGCCAGATATTCTGGCTTCTGAAGAGAAGCTGAAAACTGGCACATTCTAGGAATTAAGTTGGCAAAGGCCAAATAGGGCTCAGAGAACTCTCCAGTCGAAGGGCTAAAAGAGATCTCTGAGGTATTCCTAATCTAAAGGCTTGCAACCTTCTAAAATTTTGTGTGTCTGCACATTTTGGGGAAATGGGAATCAGAACTAAATCTTTCATCAGATTCTCAAGGGATCCCATGTGCCTGAAAGGGTTAAGACCCACTAGTCTGGTTCAATTTCCCTCATTCTCTAGAGGAAGGAGCTCACCTAGGCAGGAAATGTGCCTTCCTTGAGGTCCCACAGCAAATCAGTGGCAGAGCAGTCTGGGCCCCAGGTTCCCCAATTGCTATCTTGGTCCTGTAGCTGTGGGGTGGGCCAATGGAGGGCAGATTCGCCCCTCACACCACCCCTACTCCTCCAGTCCTGTGCTGGTCCTGCTGCCCGCTTAGCCTGGCACATTCAGTAGACAGTCTCACCTGTGTGGGAAGCCCGGCCCGGGGCTGGGAGGTCAGAAGAGCTCCCTGGGTTTGCTGAGGTAGCTGGAATAGATTTGGCGTCGGTAGCAGGCCTGGGGAGATGAGGAGGAACACACAGGGTGAAGGGGGCAGACTGCCGGATTCATCAGGGAGGCCATTGGTAGGGCTTTACCTGGCTGACTCTGCTGGGCCTGTGGCAGCAGGAACTGAGCAGGTGTCTGGAGGTGGTGGCCTGGCACAAGCACTAACTGCTGGAGCTGGAGGAGCTGCTGAATGTCCTGGCAGGAGGAGATGGACAGAAAGACAGCCTAAGTCTGGGCAGCGTTCCTTCCTCTCTGCATTATCTGAGCCACAAGAGCCGAAAGCAGGAAGGAGGCAATCTGGCACTAGGCAGTGAGGGACAGTCCACCTGTCTGAATGGCACTACGAGGCATCCAGAGGTTTCTCTCTCACAGGGGTACCAGAGAGTCCCGAGGGGGTGGTCCCGGAAGGGTTCACTATTTACCTTTCCTCCCTGATGAAATTTTTTCCTTGTCTTACATTCCCACTGAATAAACAGACTTTAAAAAAGAAAAAAGTAAACCAGAACAAGTCTTTTGTCCTTTTAAAACACTCACAGGCAAATCACATGTCTGGAATTAGCTTTAAAATCCTCAGAAAATAGCGGGTGTGTAAATTGATACAGCCACCTTTAAGGATTGGAAAAAGATATGATGGGCTTCTAGCCCCCAGAGCCTTGGAGTGTGAACTTCTTTGGAGATAGGGTCTTTGCAAGTGATCAAATTGATTTTTCTATGCATCAGGGATCAAACTCAGGACTTTGTGCTTCTGAGGCTGGCGGCAGTGCCACTGAGCTAAATCCCTGGCCCCATAAGTGATCATATTGAAATGAAGTCACCAGAGTAGGTTCTAATCCATTATGACCAATGTCCTCATAAAAAGGGCAAATTTGGACACAGACAGATAGAAGAAAGATGGGAACAGGCACAGAAAACAAGCTAGTCAGAGTAGAGAACATCCTGTATGATTGTTTTTTGCATGTTATTTGCATGTTGGAAGTTCAAGGGGCTTCTATGCCCATTATATGGGTATACTCAATTTGTGGGTATTAATTGAGCTGTATACTGATGATTTGTGCATGCTTCTATGTTTGTTGTACTTCAGTAAAAAGATATTTTAAGGGGGATGAGGCAGGGAAAGAGAGAGAAGGAAAAAGTCTCCCCCTTCAAAGTAAGTCTAATGAAATCCTATTTGCCAAGTAGGATAGGAAAAATGTTCCTATCTGTTGAGTTGGATTATGGATATGTTGGGTTCTTTAAATCACTTTCCCTATCTCTCTGTCTGTCTGAACGTTTCCAGAAGAAAAAAAAAATCCCCATTACACACGCACACATACAAACAAGCACAATAATTGAAACTCCTCACCTGGTCTATAAGGCCCTGTATTCTGAGGCCTGTGTTGGTCTCCCTGACCTCAACTCTTTCTGCTCTCTCCCTCTCTGGCTAGGCTCCAGCCATTCAGCGTGTCTCTCTTTTTCAAAAGCACCAAGCTTGTTTCTGCCTCAGGACCATTACACATATGTCCCCTCATCTATAGGAGGTGGTTCTGGTTTTTGTACAAATTATATAAATCATCGCACCGTCATGTCCCCCTTATGAGCCCCCTTCACGTCTCCATCCTAAGACTTTCCAAATCTCAAGGTATGGGTCTTTCTGTCCACTCGCTCATAGCCACTCTCACATCAGTCAGCTGCGTGACAGCATCCTCAGCACCTAGAATCACATTGCCCCTGGAACCCAGTAAGCGCTCTGCGTATATATGTTACACTCCAAGACTGATGCTTCGTCATTTACTTTGCAAATTTTATGTATGCATAGTTGAAAGCTGTGCTATTTTTTTCTTGCTATTTTCCTTTTTTCTTGTGCTATTTTTTATTCTTTTTTTCTTGAAATTTGGGGTGTTGGTACATGCCCCTCAATTCCTCTCATCATTCTAAAGTCATTATTCTAAAGACCAATTTAATGTTCCAGAAAGTGAACTAATTGGGAGAAAACAAGCATCTTCACAGAAAAGGTTCACTTCTCTAATATATAAAGAGCAATTTTAAATCCATAACTAATGATCTGGAGAGGGCCCACAAAGGAGGTCAAATCAGATTGAAATGAGTATGCATTCGGGTCACTCACAGTACAATAAACAGAACTAAGACTGCATTAAGTACTATTTTTACCTCTCAGATTAGCAAAGATAAAAACAGTGTACAACATACCATAGTGGGAGTGCGGAAAAATGAACACTCCTGCACACAGCTCGTAGGGGAATCAAAATTACAAATGACATGCCCTTTGACTCAGCCGTTCTCTGCCAGGAACTTGTGCAAAATGAGCTCCATGGAAAGATATTCCCAGCAGCAAATGGGATTCCAGCAAGAGTAGGAATCAGTTGGGCAGACTCCTAAGCAGTCATTAAAAAGAAAAGGATGCTCTTTCGTAGGAGGGGTTTTATAGGAGGAATTGAACCCAGGGCCTTTGCACTGAGCTACACTCCCCGCCTTATTTATTTATTATTTTGAGATAGCCTCTCACTAAACCACTATGTTACCTTCTGCCTCAGCCTCCTGTCGCCATACCTTGGGGATGTTCTTTGTATCTTGATATAGAACAATTTCCAGAATGTTCTGTTGAGTGGAAATCTCAAGAGACAGAACAGTGGGTATGAGGTGCTGCTGTTTGTGTAAAGGAAAAATATCTAGGTATTTGCTTGAGTTATCTGTAGATGATATCTGGAAAACTATAAAAGAAACAAAGCACACTGTAAATCCTTCTCCATTTTGTGAACCTGGCACATTTACCTGGTCAAAGTAAGTAAATATCCAGGTGTCCTGTCCCCATCCCAAACAATAACTGCTGAGTGACATGTGCTGTTTCAAAAGGTCAAAGCTGAGGCCTGCACCCTGGAAGGGGCTCCACTCGCTCAGCGTCCGCGGGAGCCCTCTGTCGTTCCCTCTCTCTCACTGCAGTCATCTTGGACTCCAGGGAAAGGTTCTGAAAACCTCACGGTACACCCTTGAAAACCAAGCGGACTCTCCTTCCCTCTCCTGGCTCCTGCAGCCAGTAACCCCCAACGACTGCCTCCCCATAGATGTGGATCAACCTTCACCATGAAGCAGCCCAGCTCAAGCTTCCACTTACAATGGGCCCTTCCAAGGCCCAGACCTAAATTTTGGTTTCACATTGTGCCTTTTCTTTTTTTTTTCTTTTTCTGTCAGATGAGATTGGGCATGTTCATGGTAGGATACCTATAGATATGCCTTCTTTTTCTTTCAAAGACCCTCCAAGCTGTGTACTCTTCAGGGCCCATAAAATGGAGACCCACCGTGCTCTGTGCTGCACTTTTTTTCCCCCTTGGTGGTACTAGGAATTTAACTCAAGCCCTTTGCACTGAGCTTCATCCCCGGTTTTTTTGTTTTTTGTTTTTTATTTTTTATTTGAGACAGTGTCTCACTAAGTTGCTAAACTGCGCAGGCTTAAACTCATGATCTTCCTGCCTCAGCCTCCCAGAGTGCTGGGATTATAGGTGCAAACATATCCAGCTCTGTGCTACACTTTTCACAAGGCAACACATTTGCTGGTGTGCATTTTGCCTGTGCTAGATTGAAGCTTTAACAGGCAGAGGTGCGTTTTATTCTTCTTATATCCCAAACCCTTAAAGAGGCCTGAGAAGCTCCCATTAAATGCCCACTGATGTGAATCCAACAAATCAACAAGTAAAACCAGAAATAAACTCTTATTACCAGTATTATATGTGTGCTTTCCTTCATACTAAGCAGCATCCCCAGCCGTTTTATTTGTTTGTTTGTTTATTATCTGAGACTTGCTAAACTGCTAACATGCCAGGCTAGGCTTGAACTTACAATCCTCCTGCCCAGCTTCCCAGAGTGCTGGGATTATAGGTATGTGCCACCATGCCTGGCTATTACCAGTATTTTTCTGGTTTGCTATAACCCTTAGTGTGGTGGTGAGACTATTTATTAACTCGTGTCTCTTCCCATCCTGTCCCCGAGTGAAAACTCCCCTTCCCTGCCAGAAGCCTAAAAGAAAGATGTGTGTGGTTTTCATTCTGAATCAGCAGGAGAGAAAAGGCTGGAGGAAGTGCGTCCTGGGTTGCACAGGGTCTATGGTAAGGAGTCTAAATGAAAAACATTTAACCATTCAGGGAATCAGATGGAGACTCGGGGTCAGCTTTGATCCCCACTTTCGGTTCCTCTTCCCCATGCATCCAGTCCATCCTCACCTCTTACCAGCCCCTTCTCACCATTGCCACCATCCTGGCCCAAGCCACCATACCATCTACCCTGACCACTCATTCTTTGCTAGCTGTCAGGAGGAAGCCATCTAATACAACAGAATCCCAGATTTTCTTGATTTTTTTTTTTCCAGACAGGGTCATGCTACATAGCTCAGGCTGGCCTTGATCTCACTATTAGTCCAGGCTGGCCTTGAACTCTTGGCAATCTTCCTGCCTCAGCCTCTTGAGTGCTAGAATTATAAGTGTGCCACCATGCCTGGCAGTCCTAGACTTTCTTATGTCCTAAATTCTTTGGTATCTGACAAAAGCTATCACTCTCGTCTCAGAATTTAATATGCAACACATGTAGGGCTTTAAATGAAATCAATTGTATTGAAATATAGTCATAGTAATCTGTGGGATTCTTTTTTTTTTTTTTTTTTGAGACAGGTCTCACTATGTAGTTGAGACTGACTTGGAACTCACTATGTAGCCCAGGCTGGTCTCAAACTCAGAGCGATCCTCCTGTCTCAGCTTCCCGAGTGCTGGGATTACAGGTGTGCGCCACCACGCCCGGCTTGTGGGATTCTTTATTAGCATATTAAATAATAAGATCCAGAATAGGTCTGATAACTACCATCATTTCAAAGCAATGAGGAGTGAAAACAGTACTTTAAGAAATCTGCAACAACTAGAAGAGAATATGAAAATCTCTGTGTATCCTATTAGTGGCAAAGTCCTAGTACTACCTAGTATTCTGGCCTGTTGCCTATATTTGTAATAAAAGGAATGGTACATTTCTGTTAGAACATAGTAAAATTACAGACTTTTTTTCCATCAAAGTTCATCGAGCCTCTGAATTCTATCCAACGACTCTTTCTGGGAACAGATCTGGTCCCTGTTCTAGAATATAAATAGGAGTTGGGCATAGTGGCTGACACCTATAATCCCAGCATTTAGGAGGCTGAAGCAGGAAGGATTGCTGCGAGTTTAAGAGCAGCCTGAGCTACAAAGTAAGACCCTGTCTCAAAAAAAAAAAGTTTAAAAAAATATATATAACCAGAAAGCCCTCACTAACTTTCATCACATTTGTAACAGAATCCAACTCCTTGGCTCAGCTTTTATTGCCCCCCAGTCCCCTGCTTGCTTCTCCTTCTGTCCACCTTGTGACCCTTTCACCCCTAACCTTGGTCCAGCCACAGTGGTCTCCTTGCTGTCACTCAACCCGGAAAGGACTCCCCACCTCCAGGCCTTTGCTATTCCTTCTAGAGCTACACATGGCTCTAATCCCTCCCCCTCATTCAAGGCTCTATTCTTGGCCACTGCTCTGATAAGGATCTTCCTTTTCCTCTGTCACGCTGTTACGTCACATTCTTTTCTTTCCTGCATCATAATTATCTGCTTCTTGTCTGTCATGCAGCTAGAGTTGCCACCAACTCCATGGGCGTACAACTTGTCTACCTTGTCCCTGCCCAGAAAGATGCCTGGACATGGGGATGTTCACCAAATATTTGCTGACTAAAGTAATGAAAGGATGAAAAAAAATCGTGGGTAATCAGTGAGCAGGGTCAGGACTGGATTTGGCCAGTAGAGGGCCACATTTCTCCACAATTTGGAGGCCACGTGGTTTTTTTCTGTGGCCACTTGGGGGCGTATCAAACTCCAGGCAGTGGAGAAGTTAGGGCAGGTTGACTGAGGCTGGGGAAAGGCCCCTGGCCAGTATATTTAGTGGATCAACTGCTCTTTCTCCAACCTTGAGGAAAACTGGCTCCAAGGGTTAGCATATCCCATTAAAGCTGAGAAGGGAAGGGACCAATTCTTATCGCTGTATTGTGATCACTCTCCACCCCCAGAGCAAGCACCTAACTGGCAATCAATAAATTTTCAATGAATGAATGAGGCAAAAACCTCAGAACATATTGACTGTTTTGCCGAAGCTAGAAACTGGGGGCAGAAAGACAGTTTATACTCTGGTATGGAAGGGGGTGTGATTGCTCACTTTCCCATCTGGGCTTGGTTCCACCTGGGGAGAGAGAAAGCCTCAGAGTAAACTTGAGGAGGCCTGGGCCCCAGAGCTGGCCAGCTGTGACATGACCCAGGTGCTGTGCCTCACTCCAGTGCACAGGGCAGATGGCCCACTCCCTTGTGGCTCTCAGCCCTCATGGAGCCAGCCTCATAACCATGGTGGTGTCAGCGTATGGCCCGACACTTGGCTATCCCTAAAATGGCAAACTGACAAGTTCTAGACATCCCACCCCATCCTGAGACATGGACGGCTTCCGGTTAAGTCCAGAGGAGAGAACAGAAAGGGATGGGGTCTGGGAACCATGTAAATCATATCATGACAGAGTAGGTTCTAGATGAGGGCGGGTGGAGGAGGATGGAACACTGGCCAGTGGGTGCAAAGTTTCAGTTAGAAGAATAAATTTGGTGTTTTACTGCACAGTGCAATATCATCTATAGTTAACAATAATGTATATTTCAAAATAGCTGAAAGAGTAAAAGCCTGGCACACTCCTATGATCCCAGCACTTGGGAGGCTGAGGAAGGAGGATTGCCAAAAGTTCAAATCCAGTCTGGGCTATATAGTAAGTTCAAGGTCAGCCTAACTACACAGCAAGACCCTTCAAAAACAAAACAAAAGCAAAGATGACTGAGATGGAACAAGGGAGGGAGGGAAGGAGAAAGGGAAAGATGGGAGAGGGATGGAGCGGGGGAGGAAAGGGGAGGAGAGGAGAAAAGAGAAATTTTTTGCAGTGCTGGGTTTCAAACCCAGAGTCTAGGGGCCGGGGATTTAGCTCAGCGGTTCGTTGGCCTCCCTTGCAAGAGCAAGGACCCGAGTTCAATCTTGGGTATCAAAAAAAAAAAAAAAAAAAAACCCAAAACCCAGAGCCTTACACACACTAGCAGGCACCCACCCCTGTACTACACCCCTGGCCCAGACAGGATTTTAAGGTTCTCACCACACAGAAATGATAAATACTTGAGATTACGGATATAGTAAGAAGCCTGATTTGATCATCCCACACGGGTCAGAGCATCACCACATCTGCTCCCTCTGGGGCTTGTCCGCCCCCCGTGCTCAGGCCACACGGGCCAGGTGGGCCTGACCCTGCCTTCTCAAGGGTCGGGGCATCCACTCACACCTGGCCAGTAGACAAGGTTGATCTCCCTGGGCAGGATGGCTGCAAGTCTGCAAATGCTGGCACCATTCTGCTTGCCCCAGGACGAAACAGATTGACAGACCCCTAAAACTGGGCTTGACATTCTGGGTGAGGCTCTTCAGTAATCTGAGCCGAGCGTTCCTGTTTCCTCAGCCGCCTGGAGTTGAGCTTTGGCCCGAGTGATGCCCTATTCCCAGCTCACACTTTACTGCCTAGACCCTCAGCTCCCTGACTGCCTGGACTCCTAGTGTTGTACTTCTAGTCTGCCTGGAAGCCCTTCTCCCAGCTCACCCACCTAGCATGCTCTTATCCCTCCCCTCAGTTCAATGGCAGTTCCTCCCCAAGCCTCCCTGATTCCCCCCAAGACTTGGCACATGCCTACCACCTTCAGTGGGTGTCTCTGGGAAACTTTTATTCCCTAGATCCCACCAGCCTGAAAGACTTTGGTAAGCTTTATTTTCTATGGTCCTATTAGGAAAATAGGGATTTTTTTCCCCCATTTACCAAATACAAAATGATTTTTTTAACAGTGAATGTAAGTTTTCAATCAACGCCAACCCCTACCCCAGACATTCTGAATACTCCCCTGGAGAGATGTCTTCCCTTTTCTTGATTGAAAAACTGCAACAAAACATCTTTCATTGATTCAATAAACATCCATGTAGCCTCCTTGGTAGAAGGCATCGCGCTGAGCATTGGACAAATTATAAAACTGTATTATAATCAACCCTCTGTCAGTACAAACTAAGAAACTGCAGGAAAATATCCTGCCCAAATGTCTGACAGCCATTGTGGAAGAGGGACTTTCCCTTCATACTTCTGAAGTGATAGGGCTTAAGAGTGGGTGTTCTGTTTTGTGTTTTTTCAGTGCTGGGGATGGAAGCCGGGCCCTCACAAAAGCTGGACAAATGCTTTACTACTGTGCTACATCCCCAGTTGATGTATTCTTGACTCTTTTCTGGGCTTCTCAGTATTTTTCAAATCAAACGTTTCCTACGGGTGGTACTGCTCTAGCGTGTGCCAGGAGGCAAGTAGATTGAACACCTGCCACTGGAGTCTCTGGCAACTCGGCTGGGAAGGGCTGGCAACCCTGCCCCGAGGAGACACCTAACAGCAGTGGCCACCAGGCATGCGGTTGGCGCCCAGCTCTGCCACTCCCACTCCCAGCATACTATGCCACGGGGAGTCACAGTGGAGGAATCATGGTGTCCTTACAAGAAAAAAGACATTTAGATAGAGAAGGAGACAGACATGCACAGACAGAAGGCCACGTGACACAGGCTGGAGTGACCCATGTCCGTCCACAGAACACCAAGGATTGCCAGCACCACCAGAAGCTAGAAGAGGCAAGGAAGGTTTTCCTCTAGAGCTTTCCAAGGGCCTGGGACCCTGCTGACACCTTGATTTTGGACTTGTGGTCTGGGACAACATATTTCTGTTGTTTTAAGTCACCCAATTGGTGGCATTTTGTTATGACAGCCCTAGGAAACGAACTCTGCCACTAATTCATGATTCATGACCAAAAACTCCAGAATGGGAAGAAAGAACACAACATTTCCTAACTCATAGATCATGGACCTGTTTTCCGGAAGAGCATCTTGTTGGGTGAACCAGGGAATAAGATCTAAGGCACTAAATCCGACTCTCATCCTTTCATTTTGTGCCCACACAGGTGCCATTCAGGGGGATTAGCCTTGGTTTCCTCACTTGTAGGTCGAAGATAATGATACCAACCCTCCAAGGAGGCTCTGAGCCACACCCAAGGAGATGTACAGAAGCACAGCCCAGGGCTCCATCAGGTGGGAAACGCCTCCTGTGACTCTTACTGTATCCGTCTGTGGGATGGGATGGCAACATCTCCCAGGCTTCCCTAGGGTGGCTGAGATCTGCCTGGCATGTGGCTGGCAGTCAGAAGGGTCAGGCGGACTGGAGGAAGTGCACTGCCCAGCGCACCCTTACCTGTGCTGTGAGCTGGATGGGCTGGGACAAGGTGAGCTGTGGGGTCCCAGGGGGCTGGCTGGCAGGCTGTGGTGGTGGCAGGTCACCTCCCCCAGAAGAGGCTGGGGGCTGCGAGGTCGAGGAGGAGGCAGAGGAGGAGGAAGAGGAGGAAGAGGAGGTGGAGGAGGAGGCGGCGGCGGCAGCAGCGGCGTTAGCGGCAGCGGCGGCACTGGACTGCTGCACGGCAGCAATGAGCTGGCATCAGCGCCGTGAGCTGTGGGCGGGCAGCGGGACCAGAAGGGGCAGAGAGTAGAGAAGGCAGAGAGGGGTTAGAGTCTGAGCCAAGCAGGTTAGGGACAAGTCTTCCTGGAGGACAGAAGAGGGCAAGAGGCAGGCATGAGAGAGTGGCCATGGCCTTGGGGAGACTCCTCATCCACAAGTCCTGTGACAGAGGGGTGGTGGCTGGCTTTTGCCCCTGTCCCCGACCTTTCCCAAGTACTCACCCCAGCTAGCTGGCTGCCCGTCAACATGAGTTGGGCCTGGGGCAGATGAGGCTGAGCCGGCTGGGGGGGCGGGGGGGCTGCTGGGGCTGAGTCACCACTGGGATCTTCAGCCTTGATCTGGGGAGGAGAGAGGCAGGGTCCGGGACCCCAGAATGTTAAGTGGAGGCCAGAGAGAATGCCCACCTGTGAACCAAAGAAAGGGCACGTGTGTGGCAGTGGCAGCCTCGGGCTGGCACAGGAGGAGATGACTGAAGAATGGAGGTCAGGCTGCAGCTCAAAGGCCACAGACCACGCCTTTGGCCTGTTTCCTCATCGGTCAGAGAGAGCTAACACATCACCTGCACCCAAATCCCTGCATGAAACCGCCTTCCCCTTTCTGGAGAGCACCTTTCTCCTCCTGGGAGTCGGATTCCCCATCTGTAAAATGGGAAATGGTGCTACTGGGGGCCTAGGATATCAAATAATGAGGATTGGGGTCCCACATCCTTCATCTGAATTAGCCAGATGTGTAGCTCTTATTTGTCCAATGGAGTAAGACTTTGTTGGAAGGCAGGGTCTCGGGGTATTGAACAAAATCACCACCTCGGAACCTGGGCCACAAGTTCAAATGATTATGGAGACGAGCAGAGAGCACAAATGGGTGACATGGGCGGGATGCATGGGGAGGGGAGGGAGAACACGCCCCACTGGAAGGGGAGGCCTAAGCAGCTCCTACTCTGCCCCCACTCACCCCCTACTCTCAGAACCTAAAACAGAAATGACTGCTGGGCAAGCAAAGCCCTGGGCTGGTCCAGGGCTACGGACGAGCCGGATGTGGCCCAGGGACTCCAGGTGCCACCCTCCACGCCAGATGAGCACAGTCCTCCCCGTCCCTCTATCGTGTTGCTGGGTCTTGTATGAGGCTATGGAACAGACCAGCACAGAGCCACCCTGGCTTTTTTCTTCTCGGTAAGAAGCCAGGCAGCAGTGGCTGTTGGCTGAAAGGCTGCTGGTAACAGACACACTGGGGTGGGAGAAAGCACCCCTTCATGGATCATACGCTCTCGGGCCCAGAGTGAACACCAGGGAATTCCCTGCACCATTTTGCAAAAGGAGGTCCAGAGAGGGAAAGCAACTTGGGCAAGGTGATACAGCAGGTTGTGAGAGGGATGACATTTGAAATGCAAACAGAGATAAACAGAGACGCAGGAGCTGAAGAAAGACAACGAGAGCCGAGAGCCGTCGTCCTGTCCCCACAAGCGTCAGGGTATTTTAGAACTGCCGGATGCAGCATGAATAACACACTGAGTATGAGAAGTCAGGGAAATGGGTGTCCCCAGCAGGGTTATTAAGGCCTCTGCAAGGCTGGTCACATTCTACGTCATCTGATGGTGGCGCCACAGGTGCGCTAGGCTTGTGAAAATTCGGTCATGTGCTGAAGGGCTATGAATGTTTGGATATGCGTGATATTTCAATATAAAATTTTTTTAAAGGGTGAAAACATTACTCTTGTTTCAGGGCTTTTTCATTCTTTCTGGTTAATCTTAAGAAACTCTCCAGGCCATTCAAAGATGTCTTAAACTCCAAAATGCTGGCTAATCTCCCCTTGTACCCAGCGAAGAACAGGTTTTGGGTTTAGATCCGTAAGAGACACTGGGTAAATTTTAATAATCATTGTATTTATTTCCATGGCAAGTGACTCTGGTTTTCCATTCATGAAATTTCCATTTGAAAACCATTTATTCAAGCTGTCGAAAAAGCGAGCAGTTCATGAGCTGATAATTGATGCCGAAGCTGATTGATGGGTTCCTGGGGGGGTGTTTTCATTTTTACCCTTTCTATTTCTGTACATGCTTCACACTTTCCATAATAAAGTGTTTTTAAAAATTGAGCCAATTAAACAATTATCATGTAAATAATTGTACACAGCAGTGCGTGCCTATGTCTGAAACCACAGTGGGAGCACATGACTTGCTGCAGTTGGGGAAAGACTGACCCCGAAGAGACGGAGAGAGGTGGAAATTGAAAGGCAGGAACCAGAGGACCGAGCTCGGGTGAGGACAGGCCCCCGGCCTGGGAATGAGAGGGTGAGCCCTTCATTTCCTCAGCCCCCGCTAAGAAAGGGCGGCTGTTGCTAGGATGATGTCAGGGCCTGGGTGGTGGTGGAGGTGGACAGGGCTCCCAGGATTAAGAGCCAGAGCCTGAGATCAGGAGCTCTAGAGCTGGAGCCCTTCTCACCTCAGCCCAACCCTAAGTGCTCAGGACAGAAGAGAAGGCAACTGCTCATAAGACACTTGGTCCTCCCGTGGTAGCACCTGGGCCCACCAGATGTGAAAGGGACCTCAGGCACCATCCATCTAACTACTCCCTCCCCCCACCGATGTTAGAGAAGAGGAAACTAAGAAGCTCAGAGAGGGGAAGTGACTTTCCCATGGTCACAGAGCAAGGCTGCGGCTGGGTGGGGAGCAGTTTTCAGCCTCCCACCCCATCCTTCAGCCCTCTCTGGTCAGGGTTAGGAGTCCCGGCCACATCCCCTCTGCCCCCACCTTGGTGCTACCATCAGATCTCTGAATATACCTGCTGCCCCCTAGCAGGCTGGAGGGTGGAGACCTGGACTCAAGAAAGCCCCTGGAAGCCAAGCAATGCCTAGCACAGGAACCCGTCTGGATGTGGAATCTGCACCATTCAGCTGCTTCTGGCTTCCCCAGTCATCCTTTCCTCCTGCATCCCCAAAGCCGTCCTTACTGGGTTTGCCATCCCCCAGCGGGTACGTGTTGGGGGACTGGATCGTGCAGGTCCCTTCAGTCAGGGAAGTCGGGATGGGGGTGGGGCCCTGGCTTCCTGTTGTTCATTGCCCTGGGACTCTGGGGGGGATTTCCCTGGCCACCTCCACCCCCTAGGGAAGGGGAAGGAGCCTGGGTGAGTCACAGACCTGGGGCAGGAACCCGAGGGTGAGAAGGGGTGGGAGAAATCTTGTCACTGGTGCCCTTCGGCTCTGGGTCCCTTTTCCATACACCATCCCCTTCCCTGAATGTTCCAACCAGTGTTTACCTTGGTGCCAGGACCAGTTGGGGACACGGAGAATGGGGAGGCCTTACTCTTCGGGTTCTGCAAAGAGAAATTTGGGGCAAGAGATGGGAATGGCGCCGTGAAGCAGCTTTAGACACCACCTGTCTCAGGGGCTTCAGCGAGTCCCTGTTGCCCCTCCGCCTCCTGCCAGCTTCCTGCTTATCCACCTGCTCCTAACCTGATGGTTAGTGTCTGGTCCATTTCTTTCCGTGTCTGCAAAGAGAGGGAAAGAATGTACGGTCACCAGCCAGCCCCACCACACCTGTCTTCCCGTGGTCTTGCCATCTGCCACATTCCTTTGCCCACTGTGACCCTGCCCTGCCCACTCACCTGTGTGTTCTGACGGGGAGTCCAGACCTTGTTTCTCGGCTTCCAGCGGCTTAGACATTCTTATTTCTAGGGATAAAGAAAGGATGAAGTAGGGTGAGGTAGAAGAAGCCAAGAGGGTTTTTAGACCTTTCCTCTGCAACCTCTGAGCCTCTTCTAAATCTTCTACCCTCTGCCATCATTGAAGTTGCTCTTTTGGAGAAATATTCTCTCTCTTCTGGGCCTCTGCCCCGCTCTGGCAGGACAAGAGAGTGCCCCTCAGGCCTTGGGACATCTTGCTCCAAACAATGGAAAAGGGATGTCACTTAGGTGAGGCACCGGGGCAAGGAAGGAGGTGAAAGGTGGTTGTGAAAAGGCATCAAGTGCCTGACAGGAGGCCAGTGAAGGAGCAAGTTTGACCTCTGCCTCCTCCCCAGGCGGGTTGCTGAGGCTCCCATTCTGCCCCACCAGGTTTCAGGTGAGAAATGTTTTCCACTCTGAGTGGTGCCTGGGGGATGTGTTGGGGCTGTAGCGTCCCCAAATGAGGGAGTTGTCAGATCTCAGGGTGTGATTCAGCTGCCCTCTGGCCCACCACTTTCCCTGTCCCTATGTTACCCCCCCCAGCCCATCTTCTTTCTCGTGTGCAGTGTGTAGACCTGGCCACTCCATCTTGCTGCTCTCTAACCCCAGATCCACCTGCCTCTCCCCTAAACCATGTCCTCCAGTCTAACCCTAGCCCTTACCCAGGACTTCCACTTTGAACCACAGCTGCACACTCAAATCCACCCTACAAGTAGAATCCCAATCTAGAGTTCCTGCGATCCAGGAAATGAAAGGAGGTGACCAAGGGGAGGTGGAAGCAGCAGACAAAGCACCAGGGGAACAAACCAGTGGAACAAATGCCCCACACGTACAGCACTGACACCGACCATGGAAAGTGAGTGCTCATGAGCACCGAGCACTGAGCTACACAGAACTCAGAGCACAAATAAGAGGGTGCTATCATTACCCCATTTTGCAGAGGAGGAAGTTGAGGTTCCAGAGGGATGTCCCCTCCCCAATAGCATAGCAAGACAGCAGAGGCATCCCAAATGGACCCAGGTCTTTATGACTCCAGGACACCTGTTTCTAATCTGGATCACTCCAGTCTAATGGATCCCAGTCTTGACTTTCACCCATCTTAACTCCAGCAGTTCCCAACCTAAGCTCCTGACACTGATTTCTATACTTCCTGGTCCTGAATCCCAGAACAAATCTGGGCTTCGGCCTAATCCGTTCTCAGTTCACTTACCTTGAGTCCCAATTTGTGCCCGAGTGATTCAACTTCTTCATCGGACTTTAACTCACATCTGACCTCAGACTTTATTTGTGACCCCAACAACTTACTCCAAAATCCCCACTTAAACCTTGACCCCACCCTTATCAAAGGCGCTGTCCAACCCTTGTGTACTCTGCACCCAAGATATTTAAAGAAAGCTAGCTAAAGTAAAGAATTGGAAGAACTCAGCAATGAAAAAAAAAAAGTCTAGGAATTTTGCAAATGAAAATCACTCAACATGAAACACTGCTTGAGTTTTAAATTCCTGATTCAAAAGCCAGGTCATTGCTTTCTGGTGGATGTCTAAATTGCTACAAGCACTGTTCAGGAAAGCCAAAAAAATGTCCGCCTCCATACCACGTAGTACAGCTACTCCTGGACATCTGGTCAAGACAAACGTGCTTCCTGTCACCAAAGAGCATGGGCACAAATGTTTCTACCACCTTTTTATAATGGCCTCAAACTGGGAAGAACCCATGGCCCATCAACAGAATGAATAGATAAACAAAATGCGGCAGATCCATAAAAGGAAACACATCACGGCAATGGAAAAGAACAAACTTCTCCTTCATACTCACTACGGAATCTCAAAGACAGTGAAATTTGCCAAACACAAAGGCTAACATACAGTTTTGATTCTAATTCATGGAGTTCAAAAACAAGCAAGCTGATCTCAGATGATCAAGGTCAGATTAGTGGGTACCTCTGGGGAGTGTTGACCAGCAAAGGGCATGGGGAAGCCGGCAGGAACTATACATATGTCAAAACTTATCAAGCTGTACACTTAGAATTTCAGTACTTCGCTATGTGCACATTATGTTTTAACAGAAAAGAAAAGAATTAAAAGCTTAAAAATAAAAGCCCACATATAGTCCTACTAAGGATGAGGCTGGGGAAAGCAGGAGAGGGGAGTGGATGTTTAGGATCTATGGGAGCTCAGGCCCTGCTTCTGGGCACTGAATGGCAAACAGTCATGAGAGATGTGGGAAGACACAAAGAGAGTCAAGCAATGGGGCCACTATCCTAGCTCTGACTCACCCAGACCTTAGGCCTACTCCAGGCAAACACTGGCCTCCTCTGGGTCCTAAATCCTGCCCTCCGTAGCACTCCCGTGGCCCCAGCCTCCCCGCTGGTCCTACTTTCCATTGGTATCCATATGGCTTCAGTTCCTGAACCTAGTTCTGATCTCCTTAAGAAACATCTAGGCCCCCCAGCTTGGCCTTGAGGACCACCCTTCCCTGTTCATCTCTTGCCACTAACACACCCTGTGTTTTGATTCCAGCCGAACATCTCTGTCTGCTAGGTGCCTCTTCCTAACATGGAGTCTGGACCTTGCCGGTTCTACACTCCCTGACTATCTAGCAAATTCCCCTCCTGCCACAGATGGGGAAGACTCTGACCTCAAGCCCTGAAGGTTGTGTGCTTGTTCTTTACCTCTGTTATGGGGTGAGTTTGTCCCCTAAATTGCATGTGCTGGATTCTAATTTCCAATACCTCAGAATGTAAGTGTGTTTGGACAGACTGTCTTCATGAGGCCATTAGAGTGGGCTGTAATCCAGTCTGATAGATATCCTTATCAGAAGAGGAAACTGGAACACAGGCACATACTGAGGAAAGATCACAGAAACACACAGGGCAGATCGTCAACTACAAACCGAGGAGAGGGGCCACAGATGAGACTGACCTTGCCAGTCAGTACCCAATCTCTGACTTCTGGCCTCCGGAGTTGTTTACTACTCCGCCATCTTCCCGGAAGTCCTGGCCTCCAGAGTTGTAAGAAAATAAATTTCTGTTGTTTCAGCCTTCTCATCTACTTCATTATAGAAGCCCTAGCGAACTAATTCAGCCTTCTGTAGCCCGCTATCCCAGCCCCGAGCTTCCAGGGCAGTGGCATCTGTGTCCACCACAGTGGACACCAAACCAGGGGACAGGCCTGGCTGAACGTAATCACTGGGTTTCTCGCCATCCAAGAACAGGTTATAAACATTTGCTGAACATCCCTCCCCGCAACTCTTGCTTGTGTCTGTTCCATCCTGCTGTCTCCCCGCCATTTAGCAAACATTTTCTGAGACACTGGCATGTTCTGACCCCATCTGGAACGCTGTCCTCCACTGTCCACCTCCGGTCCATCCTTCAGGATTCAGCATGAGCTCCGTACTCTGTGAAGCCACCACCCTGATGCCCCATCTCCCAGCCAGGAGTCTCTTCTCAGCCCTCTACCTGGCTTTCCTCTCCCCAGCGTGTCCCCTGCCACTGTCCTAGAGGTTGTGGGTTTCTGGGTCTCTGCACGTCTCCCCATCAGACCAGGAACTTCTCAAGAGCAGGTCTGACCTCAGGGTCCCACCACTCCCAGCAGAGGACATGGAGACCAATGACCGCCAGGGGCCCAGGCTCTGACCCCCCCCCACCCCCCACCCCCGGTCCAAGCGATTCCTTCCGCTGCTCCCCACGGGGACCCTTTCCGGCAACTCCTGCTCCCCTTCAAGGGGCAGCTCCCATATCCCCTCCTCTGCAAGGTCCTGCCTGATCTCCCCACCAGGTGGTTGGCGTCTCTCTCGCACACCCCAGCACACCCTGTCCATCCTATGCAGCAATTCTGTTCCCCTCTCGACTGCGTGCTCCTTGAAGTGGGGACAGGATCACTGCCTAAGGCCCAACTGTGTCTTTGAAATGAATACACATGAGAGGATTCCCAGATAATATCCAAAGCAAGCCCTTATCTCCATCTCTCTGATACCTCAAACCTCCACCCCCATCACTAAGGCAACTTCTGCTATAAACATTATTAGTTCTTTTTATTTTTTTTTTATTTTTTTATTTTTTGGTGGTGGTACCCAGTCCCTAGGGATTGATACCAAGGCCTTGCACATGCTAGTCAAGAACTCTACCACTGAGCTACATCCTCAGCCCTTTCTATTTTATTTTGAGGCAGAGTCGTATTAAATTGCCCAAGTTGAGCCAGGCATGATGGAGCATGCCTGTAATCCCTGTACTTGAGAGGCTGAGACATAAGGATTGCCTTGAGTTTGAGGCCAGCCTGTGCTACATAATGAGTTCAAGGCCAACCTGTCTCAAAAATAATTAACTAAATAAATTTGCCCAGGGCTGGTCTCTTATTTGGCCTGCCTCGGCTTCCCATGTAACTGGGATGACAGGTTTGTGCCATTACACCTAACTTCACTTTTAAACCTTTTAGGTAAGGTCCCTCCCCAGAAATGGCAGCTGGAGACAAAAGTAGTCCAAGGGAAAATGTCCACTGTTCTGTTCCCCTTACTCTCCCTAAATCCCCCAGGCCACTGCTACAAAGCCCCCGTACTCTCTGTCCAGTACTTGGCCGAGCCACAGCAAAACACTGTAGTGCTGCCCTTGCCCTAAGCTTTCTTGCTTTTTCCTCCTCTGTCAGAGCCCAGTCTGAGGAGTCAAATCTTTCCCACCGAGGATGAATAGGGGCTCCATTTCTGCCACGTGACACAAGCCCATTGTTGCCTTGATAAAGATTTAAAGCCATCAAACCACTGGGAATTTGGAGAGACCTTCAGAGATTTTGCTTCAAGGCCAGGTGTGGTGGGGCACACCTGCAAGCCCAGCCCTCGGGAGGCCAAGGCTGGAGGATCACAGTGAGTTCAAGGCCACCCCGAGCTACAGAGTGAATTCAAGGCCAGTGTGCATACAAAGTAAGGCCCTGTCTCAACTTCCACTCCTTCCAAAAAAGGTTTTGCTTCAACCCATGCCCAGCCCTTGAATGTACAGAAATGCTGATGCCACTCCCACTGACACTGGTTTCTATGGCACAGAATGCGACCTGGGCCTCCAGGCTTTAAAAGCCCCACCAGGGAATTCTAATGTGTTCCAGCACCCTGGCACCTCCAAAGCCCCTCTTGAAGCCTCATTCAAATAGAAAACTTGGTTGGTTACTTATGGTTATCCCCTGCCTATCACTCCAGGTAGCATGTGACTTTTTAGAGGAACTAGCAGGGAATAGCAGTGCATAACCTATGGGCCCCTTTCAGCTGTGTTTCCCCTTGAATCCCACCATCCTTGTGGCAGAATCACCCAGGACTGCCCAGGCGCTGAGCTCTCCCTTACTTGCCTCACTGCCTCAGGCCTGGGCCTTCAGGTCCCCTCAGGCCTCCCTGCCCCTCCCGCACGGACTTTCACTTCTCCTCCTTGTTTCCCCAAGCCACTTTTAGCAGACTTAGGGCCAGCTTCTCGTTAGCACTTACCGAAAACGGGGCTAAATATAGAGGGCCCAAGGACTGCCCCTCACCCTTCCTGGCCTCACTCAGCCAGTCCCCTGGGTCCTCTGCCTCCACAGCCTACTTTGAGCAAGGCGATGGCCTAGGAGCCCCTGTGGGCAGGGTTAGCTCTGCCGGGAACCTCTGTGCACCACCTCTGGCCTCCCTGGGAGCACCACCTCACCACCGCCCTGACCCACAGCTGTCCCTGATGGTCTCAGGGGAGTGAGCACTTCTGCGCTGTCAAGAGGGAGGGTTGGAGATGCAGGCACAGACACAACAAGAAAGGTGGCCCACAGCTGTGCAGACAACAGGCAAGGGCTGCCACACAGCACACACCAGAGCCACAAACAAAGGGGCCCACAGGCATGACACAGGTGTGCACAGACTCAAGACAGGAATGTTCACAGGTCTGCATGTGTGATGCCCTGGACAGGTCCACAAAACATACAGTGTGTGTGCATGCAAATATGCATTTGCACTTCTGCACCCCATCATCCACAGATGTGCAAACACATCCAAAGTCTCACACAGATACACACACACACACACACACACACACTGACACCCAAATATGTACATACGCACAAACCCAGAGTCACTTCACTCTGGGAGATGATCACGGAAGACCCCTGAGCCAGTTCATAGATGTGGAGGCTGAGACGAGGCATGGCAAGCAATCCACCCGAAGCCACAAGGTGTTAATTCATGTCTTCATGATGTGTTGATTCATGTCCAGATAGGGAAAACCTGGGCCAGTCCTCCCAAGTAGGGGTGCTTCATGAGAAATCTCAATTAAAGAGTTATTGCCCAGCACTGATGAGGTCCCCACAAGACCCTAGTAGGGGACAAGTCAGGAATGGAGCAGACGCCATGCATTTCAGAAACCCTGGACCTCATGTTCCCACCGTACACGCACACATACATACACACAGCTGGTCAATAAGTAAACACATGTCTTCCTGTAATCTTCCTTCCCTCCCACCTCCCCGCCTCCTGTGCCTTCCTTTCTCACAGCTACTCATCCTTCACATCCCAGCTCAGACATCTGCTCCTCTAAAGAGCCTCCCTGGACACCACACTAGCTAATTGGATATCTTCTGGGCTCCCATAATCCTCTGTGCCTCCTCATTCTGGCCCCAATACCTCTCCTGTGCCATGGCCACTCTATACAATCACTGGTGACAGGTCTGACTTCACTGAAGCTGCCTTTTTCACTTATATTTCTAAAACCCAGCCCAGAACCGCTCAACAAATCTATGCTGATGAAGGATTGCAGGGACGGCCGTACACACTGATGCACAGAGGAGGAGGGCACACAAGAGCCAAGTCTCACGTCCACGGACAGCCAGAAAAATGACACAGACCCACAGTCATGCCTGTACCGCCACAGAGGAAAGAAACAGGAAGGATCGAGTGCTTGCCATGTTTCAGGAACTGTGCTAAGTACATCACCCGCATCACCCCACTTAATGCTCCCATAGACTTTGCCGAGTGACAACTCCCGCCGTGCAGAGATACACAGATTTTACTCAATGAGCCAACAAATATAAATCACTGTGTACGGTGCCTGGTATGCAGTGTCCACTCAGTTAACTGACATTCAGTGGGGGAGGCATTTAAAAGGCACACAAACATAGAGGGAGATCTCAGCTGGTGATAAATGCCAGGAACACGTGAGGGGACCAAGGGTGGGATTAATGCCAGTTTACAGGGGGGATCAGGGAAGGCCTCCCTAGGGAAGTGACAGCCAAGGCGAATGAAGTGAGCCCAGAGACCACTGCAAGGCCAGCTGTACAACGGCACACACAGAAGCCCCTTACATCAATTCCCACACAAGCACACAGCAAACAGCACATTCAGAGGACTCAGAACTACTACATGTGCACACACGCATACACATGCACGCATACACATTCAAAAGGAGAAGGACACCACCCAAGTCCAGCACCCGCACCTTCCAACCTCTCCGCAGTCCTCTCCCAAGGGTCACCCATGTGACCCATCCCATGGGTTCTCCATATAAAGCCCCATTCTCAATACCTGGCTGCAGTCCTCCCTCACCGCCCTCCGAACTGAGCAGTGGACATGGGAGAGGAGATTGGAAGCTCCCTATACCTGATACGAAAGGTGAGGGCAAAGAGAGGAGCCGGGGAGCGGGGAGCCAGCATGGAAAGAGGGGAGTTGCTGGAGTACAGAGCAAAAGGACAAAGAGACAGCTGAGGAGAAAGGGCAGTGAAGGCCGGCGGAGGTGGCCAGTAAAACAAGCGCAAATGTATAGCTTGTCCTCCCCGCCAGTGTGCAGCCCCCTTACCTGGAGCCCCCATGCTGGAGTGAACCATGCTGCCCGCCCCAACAGGGCTGGGGGAACAACTGTGTCATCTCCCCACCCTCTCTGGGGGCCAGCACTCCCTACCGGAAGTCACCCAGGGAGGAAACCACAGGGTTGGTCCGCCCCCCTTCGGAAGGGAAAATACCCTGGCTTGCAGACCCGCCCCAGCAGCCAGCCAACCCCAAATCATGTGTGTGTGTTTGAGGGGTGGGAGTTAGTGAAGCGGAAAGCAAGCAGGCTGGAAGAGCTGACTCCCGCAGCCTCCATGCCAGGCGGTGGCCCAGCTCTCCTGTTCCCATGGGGGAAACACATGTGGGACAGGGCATGAGGCTCTGGGAGAGAAGTGAGCCCATAGCAATAACAGTAACAATTAAATACTAGCTGGCAGTTTATTGGGGGAGGGCTTTCTCAGTGCCTGGCCTTGACCTCGTACTTGATAGGTGTCATCTGGAGAGATGGGCACTGTTATTTGCCCCATTTTACAGATGAAAAGACTGAGGATCACAGAAGTGAGAGGCAGCCTTCTCAAGGGCCAAGAAACACTGAAGCTCCAAAGTTGGACGTGGTGGAGATCACCAATGCCTGCACCTGTCCAAAGGTAAGACGTCTGAGGCCATCCTGGGAGGAAGCAGTGACACGGACAATGTCAGTATGGGTAAGGTCGAGGCCTTGGCCGGGGATGGCAAGAAGTCTTTCAGCGGGCAAATGCGGGTGCCCAAGGCATCTCCGGTGGAGGGAAGCACCTGGCTGCTTCCTCCTGGGTTGCCTGGCTCCTTGCCTACCAGCTTCCCCTTCGCGGTGCGGTGCTCCCGATCCGGTGCCTCCCTCTGTGCCCGCCAGAGGGCGGCAGTGCCCAGCCAATGGGCCGGAGGGCGGGGCAGGCTGCGGAGGAGGG